TTTTAGTGTATTTATTCGTATTTTGAAACTGCTTCTGTCTTGAGAATGATGTGAGAAACATTGAAACGTCGACGTTAGAATGATTTAATAATAAAATTATGTCAAAGTTTAAAGCTGCTGCTGATATACTGAACTTTATCTTCAAAATTTTATCCATACAAAAAACACAACTTTTGAGGCTCCCAGAGTTCAGATTTAACCGGTAGGTACGACCTTGGAGATTAGCTGTAGCGTGCAAACTACGGTAGACGGAGACCTGGGACTTGCACCAGGCTGTAGAGCGACATTTGTTCTATACCCATATGCGTTTAGAGCAGTACTTCACTACACCATGGTAGTGCTGTCTGAAAGGAATTATTTTAGCACAGACTTATGGCCCCGAGTGTCCTCTTTCGTAATCTCAAAACTATACGTCTCTAGTGTTTTTAGTGTAGTTTAGTTTTTCAAAACACATCCGTGGTCTTTATATTTTGAAATGGATAGTAGTTCAAACAGACAATTTATTTTGTATGACCCTAACCTTCCGTGGATAAAATTCAAATGACGATAGGAAGTGTACTTTCTTTCACGGTATTTAACAATTTTACAATTCTCGACATAAATAAGTATCCTTACCTGAGTGCGCTTTTGAATACGGTGGTTTGACTAGTGGGTATTCTGGTTCTATTTCTTTCAGCTGAATTATTCTCAGACCATGACCACCATTTAAATGACCGCGAACCTAAAAATAGGAACCGGGCATGAGAATAACTTCTTCTTCTTTGGCACTGAAATACGAATGTGATGTAATCGATTTTCCATTTGAACATTCAATATTGAACATTGTACGTTTACCATCTTGACCGAGAAATTCGTCCGATTGTAAAACGTCGACAGCTCTTGTACATGAACTGACACCCCACCAAGCAAACTGATTACCTTTTAGATATTGATCGCTTAGATCAATATTTTTCATTCCACGATAAACTGTTTCTGCTTTAGATGGCAGTTTGTATAGAGCGGTCATAAATAATTTTAAATAGCTAAACCATGGTTTTAAACTTTGACGATTTTCCGACCGTAATGTAGCATTTAAAAGACGATAAAAACTTTTGTTACCGTCAAACTCCATTGTGTACAAGTGAATGGCAGCCGATTCGTCTTGAGTTAGATTGTCCGTTGGATTTTTGCAATTTTTCTTAGCTATCCAAACATGTTCTGCAAGATCATCGAACAAATGAGCAATAGGTTTGATTGCTTCTTCGAGTGATACTAAAGATTGATCCTGATAACCTTTGATTGGCACAAGTAATTTGTGAATTGGTTCCTCACGAATATCCGCGTAACGCGACACGTTTGGTTGTTTTGCTTGAGTCATACTGTGGAAACAAAATTACACTAGAAAAGTTAAATTGCATTATTCAGTTGCAGATTCAAACTAAACTTGTTCTGATTGTAATTTAAATCAATCATTGCAAGGACGCGATAGAACAACTATAAGCTTTGGATCACAGTAGAACTTTAAAAAAGAAATAGTTCTGCTGTAAGTCAACACTTTCGATATATAAAATGCATTTTTAATAAAAATAAACATCAGAATCGACTGCACCGAAGTGTACTTTGAATTTTTTTTGAGAAACTCAGTGAGCGCTACTGGTGGCGCCAATAATGGGAAAGAGGTACCCCTGAATCTCGGGAAATTTATTGTTTTTCATCAGTAGGAATTAAAAATATTCGTGCCTACACTCTGAAATTCGCTCTCCCAATATCCCACGCTTCAAATTTTATTACCTCCACTCCCCCTCTCTGGTGCTTGGAAGTTTATTCATGCTTCTGTACATATGATATATAGGATATTTTCTTCGATACTGGAATTACTTCCAATAATCACTCACCACCGTCAAATGACCGATAACAAAATCGACCAAACTAAGGCACGCGGTTCTCTGTTTCACTGATTATATCGTATGTAACACTGCTCGTTTGTTTTTCATCGAATGACTCTCGTCTGTTGTTTGCGCAAAATTCTAATCTCACCTTTCTTTCTTTCTCCTCTTGACTGTTTTTTTTTGCAACTACGCACACTATTAACAATAACAGCACATGGCAACGAAGTAAGAAATTCAAGAAGAGAAACAGACGACGAGTGGTTGCCTAAAAGCGCTACTGCCAGTGGATAAAAATCCACAATTCTCCGACTGGAATGGATTGAAAAAGGATGCACACACCAGAAATTGACGACATGATGTAACCTGCATCGTTCAAAAGTAGAAAATACGGACAAAGGCTGGTAAATTATCTCAAAAGACTCAATGAAATATCGTCTGCTAGTTCGTGAATCCTTACAAATCCTTGATAAAAACCCAGTCTCAATAGAACAGTATGCTCAGTTCCTCTGTGACCTGGAATTTCAGTCGAATATTAGCATATTCGATAGTTTTGTGTATGGCAGTGGTAGCTGTCAAACTTTCAAAAAAGACAGAACAGACAATTTAGTAGTATAGTTTATTTCTTCTTCAGCTTCTCTCGTCATGCTTTTAGTGTATTTATTCGTATTTTGAAACTGCTTCTGTCTTGAGAATGATGTGAGAAACATTGAAACGTCGACGTTAGAATGATTTAATAATAAAATTATGTCAAAGTTTAAAGCTGCTGCTGATAT